TCTTACCATCCCACCTAATATTTTTCTAATAAAAAATTACTTCACACAAATTTAAAAAAATTGTATTATATATATATATATATATATATATATATATATATATATATATATATATATATATATATACTTTTTTATGACAAAAGGTTTTCCTAGTGATTTCCAAGATTATGATAATTGGGTCAATAACAATGAAAATTATTTCATTCTTGTTGTTTAAACCTTTTGAATTTGTTAAAATAAGTTATGTTTAAATTATTAATTGTTTTCTTCTTTGTCTAGTATCCTTAATCTAGGATATAAACTATAATTACTTTTTTTATTTTATTATTTAATTTTTCCTCTTAATTATTATTACTTTATTACTTCACTTATTTATTTTCTCTTTCCTATACTTTTCACATACTCATAATTACTGGTATTTAAAAATAAAAATTAAGAGAATTTAAACAACACAATGTAATACTAGGTGAAAATACAAATTTATTTCTTAATCATTTATTCCTTTAATTTTGCTATATGTAAATAGAAAAAGATGAGTAATTAATATTTGTGCACGTCAAAGAAACCGTTGATTTTTTTTCCTATAATTTGTCTTCACATAAATTAATACGTTAAATGTTCAACAACCACAATCATCTCACTCTTCGGTTAATGCATTTATTGAGGGTGTAAAGTTAGTTTAGTAAAATTGTAAAAAAAAAAAAAAAATGTACTTAATGTTTTTCTTAATCCATTTCTAAAAATTTTAAACAACAAATTGATGAGGACGAAGGTTCCAAAGGTCAAACAGTTAGCACTTAATGAAATTTATTATCCTAATTCAAAATAACATTTAATTCAAAAACAGTTAGCACTTAATCACGCTTTATTACAAATTTAACGATTTTTCATAGTTTAAATTAATGTTATATATATATATATATATATATATATATATATTATTGTTTTCTTAATATTCTTATCTTTAATTTAATATAAGTGGATCATTAAATTATCAATCCTCTGTTTCTTTATTTATATAAATATCCTTAAGACATAAATATAGATGGGTAGTTCAAAATTCAAAAGATTTATAGAATTTGTTGGATTTACACATATTTTCTTTATAATTATTTAAGGAAGTTAAAATAGATTTAAATGGATTCAATCACACAAAATATTTGAGATTTAAGTAAAAGGATTTGTAGTTTAAATTAAATAGATTCATCTGTTTAATATTTAATTTTCATATATTTAAATTAGATTATAAACTTATGAATTAATTTATTTTATAAAATAAAAAATATTTTTTAAATAAAATGTAAAATAATATTATTTTATTATATATATATATATTATAAATTAATTTAATAAAAAATTTATGAATAATTCTTTAATATTTACTTATTCAATTATATAATAATTAAAGTGAATTATTATTTTAAATTAATAAATTACTAAAAATTTGAAAATATAATAAATAAATAAAATTTAACTTTAATTTTGAGATTGAATAAATATTTTATCTTATAATTTATATATTAAATCATTATATTTAAAATAAAAATAAATTTCATTAATATAATTTAAATTTAACAATATTTTTATTTTTAATTTTTATTTAAATATAATTTTAATTAATTGTTTAATATAGCTTATATTATAATAATTTTTTAAAATTTTTAATCATGCCAAAATTGATCCATTAGCCCATTAATTTAATAAAAAGTTAAATTAGCCAAAAAATTATGGTTCATGTAAAAATATAGATAAGATCAATTTTTTTTTTTCAACCTTTTCTTACATCTTCCATAATTTCTTTTTACATCTCTATAATCCATGTCAAATAACTAACATATCTTTTTAATAATTTTTGTTTCAAATCCTACAAATTTCTTTTATTCCATTGCGTATCTTTTGTGCCTCTATTACTAATTTTTTACACCTCCATAGATATACAAATTTGGTTTCTTGTGGTTTCATCTACATTCAAGATCATTTTCAACCCATAAAGTAAAAAATTGTTAATATTATGTGTTTATTACATGCTTTTTGAACTTAAATTGTATATATGGATATAGATTGTTCAATCTGAAACAATTTTTGAATCTTAGAGTGAGTTCCGGAATACCTAATCTTGAATATAACTGTTATCCATCATCAATATTAAGTTAAATACAGTCAATAATTTGATAGAATCAAGGTATGTCCATAAAATATTTGTAATATTATCAAACAAATGTCAATAAATATACTTTGTCTTGTTCCAATAACTTCATTAATTGTTGCATTTTATAATCTCTTACATTTCTACGATATGTGTATCCTGCATTATACATTTGTTTTACACTTATAATATTATTTTCCTTAAAGGTAAATAGAATATTTTTAGGCTTAATAAAATTCTGTTATATCAACTAGCATGAACATTTCATTACTTGTTAATCTATTAACATATGAATGACCTACAAACTTATCAACTAACTAATAATTATGATTTTAACAAACTAACTTCATAATATATCATTTATCATCATTCTTTATAGGTTTTTCTCGTAGTTTAAAGGGACACTCATATTTTCTATATTTACCACCTCTTTTATAACATAACAATACATATGTCTTCCATCATTAATGACTATTTGTTGTATTCGACTAAGTATAACGACCACAAATCTAAATCTAAAAGCAACATCTTGAACACATTTCAACAAATCATCTTGTGTAGCAAATATCTATACCAATAAATATAAAATCATTACATATGATATTTATAAGTTATGACTTTAATATATAACTAAAACTTTACCTCAACCGTTGTGAATATGTCAGTACAATATTATTAAGAATGCGTTCACTATATTATCTAAACCTATCAACATGTCAATTTCATGTGACATATTATTATTTGAAATTTTTCCTCCATTGCATATATAAACAAGAACTTCAAAAATTATAAATTCAAGAATGCATTATTTCTCGACACAGTTTTGCATTGGGGGATCCAGAATAGAATTTTTAGAATTGATTTTCCGAAAACAAATTATAAAACGGTGAATCCGAAACAAGATTTCCAAAATAGATTTTTTAGAAACACATTTAGAAAGGATAGATTTGGAATATATTTGGAGAACAAATTTTCTAATAGCACATTTTGGATCTCTAGAATGTGTTTACATCCAAAACTCTTGTTTTGACTTGAGAGATAATATGCGTGGTAAAAATTTGATAGAAATTAAAAATAATTTGAGATTGTTTTTTGGAATAATAGGAGAAGAAAGAATAAAATTGTTGTAGGGTTTAAAAATCCAACATTCACAATGTTTAAAAACCCAGAAATAAACACTTACGAGAATGAAGTTAACTGTAAAAATAAAATATAATTTATTTTAATTATGGGGTGAAAAAAATTATGGAAGTTAAAAAAAACCTTTTTTTTTTCCTTTACTGGACCAGAGAAATAGATCAGGTATCTATTTTGATAATCTATAATTATTATAATAAAATATAAAATTTATTTAAGAAAATGATGGGTATTTTTTTATAATTAAGTATGAAAAAAAATTCTCATATGAAAATTTCTTTTAGTATGATAAGTTTTTTTTACGTTATATAATAATATTATAATATATAAATAAATATAATAATTTTATAAAATTAATTTAAATATTTTTTATTTTTAATATAATATCAAATTTTAAAATTATTAAAATTTTTCTTTTAAGAAGAATAAATATGATACAAAATTTTACGTCTAATAAAAATATTATAATATATAAATTAGTAGATTTTTTTTACATAATTAATTTTATATAATTAAATTAAATATATTTCTATTCTTAATAAAACAAAAAGCAATAAATAAATCTTACAAAACTTAAAAATCCACAATCTGTGAAACATTTTGAACCTCACTTTTCAAACAAACTCAAACAAATTGATTTTATTTTATTTTTTCAAATAATTTTATCTAGCTGAAAAGCATGTGCGTTTTATTATTTTTGTTTTATGTTTTTTATCTTTATTTATATATTCTTTTAAGCATTAACATTCAATTTTTTAATTTTCAAGTTTTATTATTTCATTATTTTTTAGATATGTTTATATATTTTTTTTGCGTAAAATTAAATAAGGGGTATGAAGGTAAATTGGAGAAGATGGTGGGGAATGTGACATCGCACCACTTGCAGCAACACCGTTCGTGGATATGGTTGTGACCGTTCACGATTGATTTATCGGGGGAAATTCGTTGAACGATAGCGTTGTTATTAAGATTGCTACTTCTGTGTGGGCTATGTAATTTTCATTACCTTGTGTATATTTCTTGACACCCAAGCATTATTTATCTATTTGGTGATTTAAGTTTTACTAGCTTCATGATTCTATGGGATATTTGTTTTCTTTTCCTTTTTATTTATAATTGAGATTGAGTTTTGATTAGCTTTTGTTAATAGCACTGTGTTTGGAAATTGGAATGGTATTTTTTGTTCTGGTTTGGGAAATTACTCAATATCGGATACTAATTCTTATTCTGCTTTCATACCGTGTTAGAAATTGTTTGACTGTGTGAATGAATTTCGTTTCAAGGAGGATAAAGTAAGTAATCTTTGACATCGATTAAAAAATCAACTATGATCTTTCATCATGTTCATGATTTGTTACACATATAAAGTAATATGAATGAATGATCTTTTTCATGTGGGTGTTTGGTTTGGCGTTTGAAATCTTGAATCCACGTTTCCTATGAGAAAAATGAAAGCTACATAATGTAGCTTCAATTTAGATGTGAAAAATGGATCCATGTTTGACTTGATCTAACGCCAAAGCCAACTTAGTTTACCTTTTGAAAGCGAGGTGCTTACTTTAGACGTGCTTGTCTCGTAGGAATTGAAGCTTTAGATTTATGAACTGTTTTCCAATATGCCTTCTGTGATTAACATCATCGAAAGGATATTTGGTTACTTGCAACTTGTTTGTTTGATGCCAGACACAAGATTATATTTGTTTGGTGTTCATAAAGAATGACATCCAGTGGATGGCATGTTGAAAGGAGGCAAAGGTCAACAAATGAATCCCCTTTATCAAGCGAGTCAGAAAATGCACCTGAGACTGGGTCACTATCCATTGTTGTGCTTGGTGCTTCTGGTGATCTTGCTAAGAGGAAGACGTTTCCAGCACTTTTTCGCCTATATAGGCAGGTTTGGTAATCTAGGATTTGTGTGTTAAATAAAGGAATAAAGAATAGCCTTTGTGGACCATGTTATTTAGTGCCTTGTTTTTCAGAAGACAAATAGAATGGTATCAGAGAGGTTGAGTACAAGACATACTCAACAAATAGAAAATTTAATAGTCTAATTAAATCTCAGCTACTGCAACAGCTGCCATGTGCAAGACCTAATCCAACACGAAACCATCCAATCCCCTGCACCTATTAAATACAACCTGTGCTATAAAATCACCACCTACACTGATATACACACTTCATAACACATCATGTCACACATTACATAATCCCACCTATGCCCATGCCCACTAAAAGATTTATCAAATAAAATGTCATGAACTTACATAACCATTCATGCCGCAGGGCTTGGGAAAGAGATGAGCATGACATGTAACTTAGGGCATCTTCTGTACTTGGACCAACATCATTGAAAAAGTCTTTAATACAGAAAAAGCTTCCCCATGGTATTTAGTGCTTGTTATAAGAGCAAAAGGATTTAATACAGATAACCATTAAGGAATTAGTGGACCACTGGAAGACCCTTAACAAATGTGTTTCTGAATGTTAATTCAAGCAATTGTTCAAAAATTTCTCCCTATTCATATATTCTACGTGAAATTAAGATTTGATAAAAGTTTAATTGGATGTGAACGGCCTAAAACCAATTCCTCTTTTGTCCACTTTGAACTGGAGACTGGCTATGTAAACTCTAGTTGAAACCATTCAATAGGATTTAGATATAAAATCTAAATGATCTTTTAAGCAATTGGTTTATGACAAAAACACAATGGCATTGTCTGATTCATGTAGCCAACCCACTATGGTCAACGAGGGTTGGATAGAATAGAGGGGGCTAGTTCTTACACCTCACTCTGCCAGGAGAGGTGTCCCACATTTAATACACGATTGTGCTCGAACAAGATTACGTCTAAAGGAGAATACCTGTGGGGAACCAAAGAAACTATATTCTACTTGATAACCTAAATAGATATCTATTCCTAATTCATATTTTTCTTGGAAGATTTGGTAAGTGATGCATGTTTCTTTGAAGGTAACGAACACTTTTTCTAAATTTTGGTGGTTTTTGGCAGGGATTCCTACTACCAAATGAGGTTTGTGTTTTTGGCTATGCTAGGACAGAAATCGATAATAACGAATTTAGAAACCGCTTACGTGGGTGAGTTTTTTTTTTTTTTTAAGTTTCACAATCTGTATCTTTCCTAATATATATAAAATAAATAAATAAAAAATCATGGAAACCAATTTCTTTCTACTATCTCAAAACCATGATTTCTTTTACGTAAGTAGAACATTAGTTTAGTTTCAGCAGTATCCTGTGAAATAACAGATCATATTTCCTTGATCCCTGTGTTTACATAACCTGAAAATTTTATAGCATCTTTGGTCAAACTTATTTTGGTGAAATAATCACTTATTTCCCAAAATATCTATCATCAATATAACAAAAGTAAGTGAATATTTCTCCAACAATGCAAGTGTGAATCTAAATTCTATTAAATAAAAAGGAGAAAATTGAGCTATATGAGAAAGAAAGATCATGAAGGTGGTTTCAATCTATTTTGTGAGTTAAATGTGGTTTCTATCTATTTTGTGAGTTAAAGGTGGTTTCAATCCATTTTGTGAGTTAAACTGTTTTATTAGTGTTATCCCCGTTCAAAAGACCAGAATTTAAACTTTGTTCCATGATTGTTATCTTAACCATCCCTTCTTATTTGAAGAGATTTTAACTATAATAAATGATTAGAAATTGGTTGTTGTTTGATGTGCAGCTATCTTGTTCCTGGAAAAGATTCTTCCCCCGAGCAGCTAGAGGAAGTATCAAAGTTCTTGTATCTGGTTAGTGTTGGTTGGTTGCCTTGAACCATTTTATAATTTTCTGTTACCCACTCGCTAAAATTACACATATGATTGATCAAACGTTCATTCTTTTTCCCCTTTCTCTTCCCATTAGGTCAAATATGTAAGCGGCTCTTATGATTCTAAGGATGGTTTCTGTAATTTGGATAAGGATATTTCACAGCATGAATCTTTGAAAAATAGTGCTGATGGTTCTTCTCGAAGGCTTTTCTATCTTGCCCTTCCTCCTTCAGTATATCCATCAGTTTGCAAGATGATAAAGACTTATTGCATGAATAAATGTAAGATTTAGTTATCCATTGTTTTTATATGAACCCTGTAATGTTTGGTTGCTAACATTTTACACGAACTCTTGGGAAAAATAGCAAACCTTGTATGCCATTGCTCAAGACCAGTTAGAAGTAATTCAGAGTTGGACAACTAATCTAGTCCCTACTTCAGAGTTCACTTTCAGCTCTTCATTTTTCTTAAAAATAAAATCTAAGATGAAGATTGCTTGCCTTCTTTCTTAGGGATTTTTTTTTTCTTGATAATACTGATCTGTATTGAAGTTACTGCTGTTGGTCTATACTGTAAAATATAACTGCTTCCAGTGGATGAAACATTGCTTTGATTTTGGATTTACTGCATAACTACTAGCGGCTTTGTTATATTTTTCGTGTTGAAGTTAGAAAGATGAACTTGGAAGTCTATTTGATAGATACCATCAACAAAACATATCTCAGGGTTTTAGTGTCTTCTGTGAATCTCATTTCTTCTAGCAATATGACCTTTGGTAACACGAACATACCAGATTAGGTGCCAACCTAGTTGGGATTGTAATCAACAAAGTGATGCTTTTTCATACTTGTTTTCATTACAAAAAAAAGTTTCTCCTAATTTCTTTTTCATATTAGGGTTGCTGCTGAATATTAGATAGAGTATCTAACATTGTAATCAACAAAGTGATGCTTTTTCATACTTATTTTCTTTACAAAAAAAGTTTCTCCTAATTTCTTTTTCATATTAGGGTTCCTGAATATTAGATAGAGTATCTAACATTCCTTTTATTGATGATTGCATCTATTTTCGTTTTGTAGCTGATCTTGGTGGGTGGACACGTATTGTTGTTGAGAAGCCTTTTGGTAAGGATCTGGAATCTGCAGAGCAACTCAGTACCCAGATTGGAGAGTTGTTTGAAGAACCTCAGATTTATCGTATTGATCACTACTTAGGAAAGGAACTAGTGCAGAATATGGTAGTATATGATTACTTATTGGCTCCCTTTTTGCTTGCTTCATAAACTTGGCCTAATCCTCTTCATTTGACTTCTATTTTCCAGTTAGTACTTCGTTTTGCAAACCGATTCTTCATGCCTCAATGGAACCGTGACAACATTGCTAATGTGCAGGTGAGGAAGTTACTATTGAAATCAAACAAGGCCTTATTAGTTAGCTTAAAAAACAGTATTTCAAAATTTGCCTCATCGTAACTGTCAAATCTTTATTTATGGTCCTGTTAAATTTTCTGTCTGTTATTACCTAGTTCATCTACTGCATGACCAAACATTTACATGCCACATCTTCAAATTGAGTTTTCTACTGTTTTTCTTTGGCAGATCGTTTTCAGAGAAAATTTTGGAACTGAAGGCCGGGGTGGATATTTTGACCAGTATGGGTATGTGTAGTAAGTTATTTATTTTTTAATTATTTTTTTAAACTAAGCTGCTTAATATATTGAGAAAACATTGGTGTATATCCATTGGTGTATCAGTCAATACTTAAGCTTTATTTTGCTTAGTTTTATATTATTACAAATAAAAAACCAAAATCATTAACATACTTTTTATTTGGCAGAATTATTCGAGATATAATTCAAAACCATCTGCTGCAGGTAGGGCCTTCATTTTAGACTGAAATAGATGTCATATATATATATATATATATATATATATAATTTTTCATTACTATTACCATGGTTGATAAAACGATATTATCAAATGCGCCAACATTGCTTAAATTCACTTCCCTTTAAACTTTGTTTTATATTTGATAAAACAAAATAATGTTAGAGTGGAAACTTCAATACTGAATATTTTGTGGTGAATATTTAGGGGTTATATTTGTAATGTTCAGGTGAAACATAATTTTGGGACAGGAAGGTGTATTGAGGAAAATATTATAGCATTTGGATTAAGAAACTTCTATTCCTCATTGCTTATAGTTTTCCTTTTTTATCGATGCCACAAGTTTCTTCTAGCTCACTTGCCGCTGTTACATTGATGCTGGCCCGACGAGTTTTCACACACAGTGGTAATCGATCACAAGTTCCCTATTACATGGATTGTCCGCACAATGTGTGAACACAAGCTGTCTAGCCACCACGCCAAACCATCTGGTTTGCTGATTGCTTATAGTGACATCCCATACGTTGGATTTTCTTTAGCACTTCATCACTGATTTACTTTTAGTATGTTTTAAACAAACAAGATTAAATCATTTTCAGTTTTGATTTTTTTCCCCCCCATTTTAAGCATTGAATGGAATTTCAAACATACCTTAGTAATACTTACAAATGTGCTTCAATCTTCCTTACATCAGTGATTAAGAAGACTAAATACGTTCTCAATAGACTTGAACACACTTTGCTGTGTCCACATCCTTTTCGACCTTTTTTCATGTCGGACATTTATCAAACCAATAAGACCTATTAGAGACATATGGTTACTTCATAGTTTACATCAGATCAGACTAATATGTCTAATTCATTATTTTTTTCTACAAACTCAGGTCTTTTGCTTGGTTGCCATGGAAAAACCAGTTTCTCTCAAGCCCGAACACATTCGGGATGAGAAAGTGAAGGTTTGTCCCTTTACATTCAATTTGTATGGAAATTGTTTTCTCCTCTTTTTTCATTCAATTCTTGCTCTCCTTTTTTGTTCATCACCAGGGATGTTTTTATCACTTATGACTTGAAACTTGACACATCGCACCATTATGCGTCTTTAGCACTCTCTGATAGATATAAAGATTGCAGGTTCTCGAATCAGTACAGCCTATTAAAGATGATGAGGTTGTTCTAGGACAATATGAAGGCTATAGAGATGATCCCACCGTACCTGACCATTCAAATACTCCAACTTTTGCGACTATTATTTTGCGAGTACACAATGAGAGATGGGAGGGTATGTGATCCATCATCTTTTGTGTGAAAGACAAATTTACATTGTAGGTTCAGGGATGCAATAGGGAGATATTTCGGACATTTCTTTCCTTTTCTATGCTGAATTTTTGGAATATTATAATTCAGTCCATCTTTTTTTGTGTGTATGTTTGTGTGCATTATTTTATATTTTGTGCTATATATTTCAGTCCATTTGATCAATTAAATTGCAATTGAGACATTTCCACACCAAGCTCCTTTCTGATGTTAGGTGTTCCATTCATACTAAAGGCTGGGAAGGCCTTAAATGCAAGAAAGGCAGATATAAGAGTTCAATTCAAGGATGTTCCTGGTGATATTTTCCAGTGTATGCCACCAAATTTTCAATATTTGGCTGAATTTTCTCTTCAATTCATGTATCTTTAATTGTCTATAGTAAATACATCAATCTTGAGCATGAAATTGAATATATCTATTTATCATCCATCATCTGCAGTCAGACATACTATACAACCCATTACTTTGAAAAGTAAGGCATTTTTTTAATAGGATTATAACATTGTACTTCGGTGTTGAAATAAAATTGTTTGGGTATGTGCATTAAACCATCCTATCGCTGCAGAAAGTAATGTTTATGGGTTCATCTGTGTGATCCATAATTCCACATAGGCAACATGCAGGAGGAACTTGTTCTTTATCGGCACAGTAAATGCATCGACAGATTATATAAATATTTTCTAGTGTATTTTTCCATATCTTGAGTAACCCTTATTGTAAACTTATTCTTGTTTAGGTCAAAAGCAGGGGAGAAATGAGTTTGTTATACGCCTGCAACCGTCAGAGGCTATGTACATGAAGCTTACAGTATGTCTATCATTCTGATAACACTTAAACAAGAACTATTCTGCCACTTTTTGGACCTGATTAACTTTGGAACGTGTCATTGAGGAAAATATTTTTATGTCTAGAGTTTAAGATATTTAGTGTTTTATGTATTGAAAAATATAAGGATATCATGACATAGTCTGGAATCAATTATTTTGAAATGCAAATTGGGCATTTTTGCTAGTTAATTTGTTGTCAGCTCCTGAAAACATCTTATCTCTTTTACTTGTTATATTGTGTCCATGAGAGAAATCTATGTGTTAAATTCTGTTGGAAATATAGTTAATGCACTTAGGAAATAGTATGTTTGTTTCGCATATCACATGATAAAATGCTTTCAGTACTAAAGAGTATTAGTTTCTAGGAAGATGTTATTAGGTAAGAGTAGTCTAAGAAAAATAGTCTCCATCCACTAAGTCTATTAAGAGATTATATATGTGGATGATATGCAGAACATATTTTCCACATTTTGCCTAAATAAACATTCCATTTTCTAAATTCTCTCCACAATATTCTGTTATATCTTCCTCTAAATCTGTCCTCATAAATTCAACATGTTATGTTATCTTAGTGTATCCAGTCCTACAAACATCACATTGCTAGATGTCTATTCTAGACATGAAGGATGCCTGTTAAGATATCCCAAATTGGTTAGGAATGTGGCTAGACCACTCCACAAGACTGAGACATTTATCCCCTCTTGAGCTATTTTTATTGAGTGAAGTTAAGTCCAATTCATTTCTAATATGCTGTGATCTGTCTTGTCACAGTTCAGCTGTCTTGCCTTTCGTCACGTCTGCTGCACCTAAAATGCTAAAATAATTCAATATGCTAACAATGGACTATTCTCTGATTTTTTGAAGGTCAAGAAGCCTGGACTGGAGATGGCAACAATTCAAAGTGAACTAGATTTGTCATATAGGCAACGTTATCACGCAGTAATCATTCCAGAGGCTTATGAGCGTTTAATTCTTGACACGTATGTTGCTCTTACAACTTCATGATTAATTGTTTTAATGGCTTGTTTCTAGAAAACAGACAACCCAGCGTGTTAAAAGAGTATATATGAATTTGGATTACATGAATTACTTGGTAAACAGTTTGTTTAAAGGAAATAGTTGAGTGAAATATCAATGACAAACGGAATTTGTTTACAGAATTAGAGGTGATCAACAACATTTTGTTCGCAGAGATGAGTTGAAGGTAAATATCATTACATGCTTCATAGACCCCATTTCCACATTAATTTTATTGAAAAATTGAGTGGTTGTACTTTGTTTCATATCAGGCATCATGGAATATGTTCACCCCACTTTTGCAACGCATAGATAAGGGTGAGTTCAAGTCAATCCCTTACAAACCTGGAACCAGAGGTCCTGCAGAAGCAGATAAACTATTGCTGGAAAAAGCTGGTTATGTTCGAACACACGGTTATATATGGATCCCTCCTACAGTGTAGAAAGAACAATGTTAGGCAATCTTACACTGCCTTAAACATTTTCTTATGCTTAAACTTGATTCGCTTGGGAAGATCCCCTTGGAGCTAGACTCCTCCTAAATGGGTAATTTTATCAAAAAGCATTTGAATAAATATGTGGCTGACATAGTTTATGTAACCTTCCTTGTGCACGCAAAATAACGAGTGTATTGTTTTTTTTAGTGATAATCTTTTTTAAAATTACTCTATATAGGTATTAGAGTTGTTATGTTCGACCTTAGTCTATATTTTAAAATAGATTATAATTTTTAATCTAGTATAACTTTAGTTTAGAAAAATGGTTAAATTAATCTAATTGAATTTTTTTAAATATTAATATATTTATACTAAAATAAATAATAAAAATATATTGAAATAAAAATAAAAATATATTATTAAGATTTAAATTATATTAATAAAATTAGTTTTTATTTAAAATATAATAATTTAATATATAAATTATAAGGGAATATATCTTTTTAAAAGTTAAAAATTTATTTTTTATTATTATCATTTATTTTTTATTAATTTATTAATTTAAAATAATAATTAATTTAATTATTAAATTTTAAAATAAATGGTTATTAAAAATTTATTGTAATATTTATTTCTAAAATAAGTGAATTATTTATTAAATTAATTTATAATTTTAATAAAATAAATAATATTTTTGAAACACAATTTCAGAGAAATCTTATTTTGTAGTAAGATTTTATTTTTTATTTTATTAGATTTAGGATAACTTCTATTATTATATTATATTATTATAATAAATAATTTTTTTATATTATTAATAAAATAAAAATATTTTTATATTATTAATAAAATAAATAATATAATTTATATTATTATTAGAACTAATAATTATTATATTATTTTATTATTGATAATTTAAATAATAATATTAATAATAAAATGAAAATTATATTAATATATATATATATATATATATATATATTCTTATTATTATTAGTTATAACAATAATAAAATTATATAATTAAAAATTGTTATTATTATTTATAATAATAAAATAATAAAAATTACACTAATTTAATTATTATATTTTAATAATTATTATAATTATATTATAAAAAATAGTTTAATATTTTTATAACTTATAATAATAATTTTAATATATTTAATTATTGTCTATTTTATTCTATATTTATATATTTTTTAATAAAATTACACATGACAGCTTAGTGTAAGTGATATGTGAAGTTGACATATTGAGCATCAAGTTTTCCTACATAAAGGTATAAAAAAATAAAATACAAAATACAGGAACTCATGTCATCAATTTACAAAATAAATTGAAATACTCGCAACCCAAACTTATTTATAAAAACTCAAGGAGGTTGATCTCAGGAGGAATATCAATACATTAATTTATTTTATTCATATTATTTTAATTATATTTAATAATAAAATAAATAATGATAAATATGTTTATATTTATTAATATACTTAATATTTAATTATTATTATTATTATTATTCTATTATTAATAATAAGATAATAATATTATTATCTCATTATTTGATTATTAATTAATAATATTATTAATAATTATAATTATATTATTTTATTATTAATAATATTATTATTTTAATATTACTAATAATATAAATTTAGTTATTATTATTTATTTTATCAATAATATAAAAACATTATTATTATTAATTATAATATAATAATAATAATAATAATTATTATTATTATTATAATAGCAGACTCATATTATTAGATATTTCGACTTTTATATAAATATATTATATAAATTTTGTTATATATATTTTTTTAAATTAAAAAAATTAAAATAATATGATTTTTTTCATTTAAAATTGTGTTTTATAATACAATGTATTTAAATTCGTAAATTTTTAAAACTTTATCTACATTGATAAATTTTAAAAATAGTTAAACCATTTCAATAAAAAAATCGATTTTATTGTGTATGAAAATGAAGTTCATTTCCTCATTATGCAATAGTCTTCATTCTTTGATGCAGAATCTGCAAATTAACGTGATTTCTGTTTTTTCAGATTTTGGGAGGTGATTTTAAGTAAATTAATTTGTATGATGTTTGAAAATGAACTGAGAATAATTGTTTTCTGTTTGGTTGATGAAATATAAATATTTATTATTTATAAATTATAAGATATTATTTACAAATTTAACTCTATCGTTCTCAGTTATCATCAATAAAATATAATTTTATTTTTATATCCTTTATAACGTAAACATTTATTTGTTAGTCATCTTGTTAATAAAAAATATTTTAAAAATATATAAAAAGTTGTTTTTTATTTTTTTTAGTCTGTTTAATTTCTAACGGATTAATCTCAAATTCGTTACATCTTGATTTTCAGTTTTTTATTTTCTCTTATTTAATCTCTATAACTAATTAATTCAAAGTTTCCAACGGATTAAACATTTATTTAAGAAACTTTCACCTTTTTCTAATTTTTTATAACATGTTAGGGCATATTTTCATAGAAACTTAAGTTTGAAAAATTCTTTCTTATTCTTAGGTTTTGAATGTGGTTTTTGCAATGATGATACAAGAATGAATCAAATTTCCGAGATTTTGAAATCAACGAGAATTTCAAATTATGTTACACAACACAATTTTAGTTATTTACTTTATTATTATTTTTATATTAACTATATTATTCAATATTAATATAATATAATTATTTCATAATATAAATTTTAATATTAATAATTATTTAATATTATATATTTATATAATATACTTGTTTAATTTATTTTTAACAGAAAATAGGACTCACCGAACTATTTCTCATTTTCTAAAATTAAAATAAATATAAATATAAGATTTTCCAAATATAATTATTTAGTAGATATTATATTATAATTTCATATCTTAAAAATAGAAACTAAAATAAAAATGAAATTATACACAAAATCAAACCACTAAACTTATTGAATAAAAATTTAATCAATCCAAAATTCTTTTATATAAAAATAAATATTTAATTTTTAGCTTATAAAAAAATATTTATTATAGAAGTAAATCTTGTCATTTAAATATAGTGATCTAATTTTAACGATTTTGAAATATTCTAAGATTGTACTTGAAAACCTAAAAAATAATTTTAAAGAATCTGCAAACTTAATCTCCTCCATGTGTTGTAGAGAATTGGGATATGATCCTGCCTCTTGTTGACTGTCTCAATCCCTAATTTATTTCTTGAATTGGCCAAAACAATTCTCTTATGGTGTGGCTCTCTCCCCTCAAATCCTGATTTTCCAAATCATTTTTTTTAAGCCCAACGTGTTTTTGCGTTTAACATTATTATATAAGTGATCCATTTGGTTTAGACTCCACTGTTTTCTCATCCTTCTCTTGCCCCTTCATGAGAATTTCGCCTTTTTTTTTGCTCTGCAGCTGTCAATTTGTGCATTGGAGGTTTGTGTGTTTTTTTTTTTTTTTTTTTTTTTTTTTTTTTAATGTTTTTCTTCTACTTTATTGAAAAATGATTGTTGTGTTTGTTCTTTTGAGTCTGTTATTCTTTGTTGTAGGGTTTGTGTTTCTTTGTTATAGTGACTCTTGAAAAGAAAAGGAATGGCTTCCTATTCTTCTGGGGAATCTAAATTTTTGATTCCGTTAGAGAGGAGTTCCTCAGATGGGTCGAATGACCATTTGATCAAGAGTTGTAGTTGTTTTCATAATTCTTGTTGCCTATGTTGTTTCGACGAGAATTTAGAAGAAGAGTCATGTTTTGATTCGGACGATGCGAAGGAAGTGGGAGTTGATGATGATGATATTCTCGAACTGTTGTCAATGGACCCTTTTGAACTGGACATAGAATCTACATTGGCAGCATTCTCAGATTGGATTGAGGATTTTGAATGGGATTTTCAACCTGAGGATTTAGAATTTGGGGTGAGACAAATACATGAAATGATGAGTGATAATGATCATCTTCACTTTTTAAATTTGAGTTGGGCTTGGAATGGCCCTGATAATTTGCGATATCAGAGGCTTAGTTATAGGGAGAATGAGATATCAGTTTCAGGTGATATTTTCCAAGGGTATCAAAATTTTGATGGAGTATTTGGTGGGCGAAGGAATTTTCTGAGTATTTGGCAGGACGACTCCAGGGTTTTTAGTCGGGAAGCAGAAAAATGGCAAACCTGCACCAAAATTGAATGTGATGCTGGAAGAGGTGATCCACATGATGGTTTGTTTTTTGTGTTGGGTTATCTAGATTTGCCGGATCTTCTCTCTGTTGAACAAGTTTGCAGATCATTGCGTGATGCTGTTAGAGGTGATCCTTTGTTATGGAAGACTGTGCACATTAATTATCCATTAAACTATAGGCTTAGAGATGACAATCTTATAAATTTAACGGATAGAGCTCAAGGTACCCTTCGATGCCTGATCCTAGTGAACTGTGTATGGATCAGTGACACTGGTCTCCAACGTGCTTTAAAAGATAACAAAGGATTGATAAAGGTTAGTATTTGTAGCATAGTCCAAAATATAACTGTGTTCATATAATTATTAGTTTGAAGTTTTGAATAAATTGTGACTGAACCTTTTTTGATACATTACTAGGTTGTAAATTTGATATTGTTTTAGTGTAAGAACTTATGGCCTATTTGAATCTTGATTAGTTATGTTAACCACCCCTTTACCTCCAAACTTTACAAAGAATATATGTTCTAAGAACTATGATTTTTTTGGGGTGTTTTTATGGTTTAGATTTCTTGCTGGCAGTTTTTTTTTTATGTTCTTTGTAAATATATTACAACACTAACGTACAATAATTATTATACCACAGCCAATCAAGGATAAAGGAGTGTATGCACTAACAAATTTTCATGTATCTTTTTCAGTTAAATGTGCCAGACTGTTATAGAATCACAATTAAGGGCATCTTATTCAACCTCAGGGCTCTAAAGTCATATGGAAATTCTAGTATAAAACATTTGCGTATTGGTGGACTTAGTGGTGGTATGTCTGATATGAGTGACCAACAGTTTGAAGAGTTGAAGGAATTACTGGATGCAAGCAAGCATTTGCAGCCGGGAGATCGGAAGCCACATTTCTTTATTAGAGATTATTCAAATATCCTATGTGAGGATGGCCGTCAATTTGACGTAGACATGTGTCCACAATGCAATAACGTGAGACCTGTTTATGATTGTCCTGCGGAGAGTTGTCAGCAGAAACATCAGGCTGCTCCACTGTGTAGAGGTTGCACACTATGCATAAAACGTTGCCTTCAATGTGGAAGGTGCGTTAAGGATTTTTATGAAGAGACAGTTTTTTTTGATTATATTTGTTTGAATTGTTTAGATGGTTTCCTGCATTGTCCAGAGGAAGAGGAAAATGAAGATGCAGAGAAAAAGGAAAATGAAGTTGCAGACTCTTCTATTACTAGTGAGAGGACCATGTCTCAGTTTTGTCTCGATGGCTAAGAGTGTCTGATCTTAATAATCTTTTGACAGACATTGGATCGGAATTTGCACATTTGGCTAACTGGTTTTCTTTGTGCAAAATTGAAGTAGTGCTTGTGCTATATCATTCAGTTGAGGAGGGATTGTAATTTCTCAAACTTTGAGCTTTAACTGCTATACGCAGGACTAATTTTTTCATAAATTGTGATAAGGGCCAAGAAAAAAAGAGGTTTTGGAGGGAAAAATTAATGAAGATTGAATTAGAGAAACAACAAAGACAAAAAATACACTTGGTGTTGAATGTAGTTGGATCAAGGGGAAAAAGAGGGGAATGCGAATGTATGGTCCAAAAGAAATTTCATGATGTGTGATGCCTTCTGTGTGGAAAATATTGTCCAAGTTTATTGAAGTGAATCAGGAGTGTTCTTGATTCAATGATGTGGCATGTATGCAGATTTTTCTTGACATGGCTTTGTGAGTTGGTAATATTACCACATGTAAACTCTAGCGAAATAGCAGTCATTCAAGCTAGAATTTACAATTTTTTTGATGAATGATGATGCTGAAGAAAGGATGTGCTGGTACTTGCAATGGATCTTTTATCTGGGTTTCCATTTTTTGTCATGGTACTATGCTGCTTGTAAGAACCATCTTGTTGGAGATAAAAAAACTACATTGTCAAATAGGGTGGTCTGTCATCACTGGGGTTCTGAGAGGAATTGAAGGTTCTTTTGTGCTTTGCAATGCTGAAACAATAAATTCAACCATTGTCCTGTAAGCAATAAATCAGTTATATCAATGATGAAACCTTCTAATAAAAAGTGGAAGAAAAAAGCATTTCTTCCTCATTTTGAGTCAGTTTCTAGTTTGGGGAGACATTTTCTTTTTTGGTAGAAATAGTTGATCTTGATGATTCTTTATCATAAAGAAATTTGTTAATGGTTATTATTTGTTGCATTGCCTATTTTGTTCTTATTCGGTGTTCTTTGTTGCATGTGCCATACAACTTGGGACATTTATTTTCTCACAAATCTGAAAGCAGATTCCATTTTTCATCAATCTTTGGATACACTGCCATTTTGTTCTGATATAATATTCATAAGTTACCCTTTTTTTAAGTATGATTATACAATTTTTTTCATAAAATAATTTAGAAGAAAATATATAATAAATTTTTGGCTAAAATATGTTAATAGTTTCTGAAAAAAATTATAAATTTTAAATCTCAGTAAGTTTTTTCTTAACTTTTTTATGTTTAGATTTATCTTTTGATTTCTATAATATTTTTTATATCATAACAACATGTATGTTTTCCACCTTATAATCACGTATTATATCAATACGTAATGTAATGGTAGAGATCAAATTTAAGAAAGTTCAATTGTAAATTTTTTAGGGAAAAAAGATTTTTTTTTTTATAAACTAAAACTGTTTTATGATTAAAAACTAATATTTTGTAAAAGTTTACTGAGTGATTTTACAAATTAACTACTTTTACTTAAATTATTTTCAACCTATAAATTGAATTTTTTTTCTTAAAAATGTTTATATAGAAGGTTATTAAAAATGATACTATGTGGTTATGCATGTTATATTGATTTTTTGAATAGGAAAATAAATATATTATTAGAATTTTTGAACACATAATGCTACAACTCTATATAATTGTGAAAAATAGCAATCAACTTTACATAGTACCCTATTCTTTCTCATCCTTCCCAAAAGAGAAAAAGCCCAATCCCTATTTTTATCTCAAGGGAAAGTCCACTCATAAAGCTCCACCTAAAATACAAACTCAAAATATTGTCTATTTTCTACTATTTCTTCGGCAATCCTTACCAAAATTGTTAATCTTAAGTCAGCAGAGACCATCTGGAATTTTCTCTAACAAGAGTATGGAGGAAACAAGAAAATAAAAGGGGTGTAAGTGCTAATTTTGATTAAAGAGTTTGAGATGCAAAGAGTTTTAAAAGGTGAAAGAATATTTTGACTAACATCTAAATATTGTCAACAAGGTGAGGTTCCTTGGAACAAAATTTTATGTGCATGAGTAATTTATATTATTAGTTTGGTTATGGATTATAAAGGCAATTAATAAGAATATTTGCTTACACAAAATTTATTTAACTTGAATATCTTTAGTTTAATAATAACAATAGTAATAATAATAAAGTTTTTTATAATTATAATTTTTATAATAATTAATTACTTTAGAAACACTTTCAATTTAATTGTTATTAAAAATGTCAATAGATGCACTTTGACTTTGTTATTTTAAAAGGTAATAAAAATGCACTTTTAATTTGATTATATAGAAAATTAATAACAATAACTTTTTATATAATTTTAATTTGGCTATCAAAATAAACAATTAAATCAAAATTAAAATCTATCATCCATAAATATTTTCTACAAAAGAATCATGTAATTGTTGTATTGCATTCATAGGAGCACCTAATTTCTGTCTACCTAGAAATGTTAAAAATATATTATCTCATACTCTAATAATAATAATAATAATAATAATAATAATAATTATTATTATTATTATTATTATTAAAAGTGAATATATTAAATATAAAATAGTTCATTATCTTAGTTAGTGTTGAGAGGTAAAATAATAAATTTTAAGGTGTTTAACCTTTTAAATTTAATTTTAAGGTAGCAGTTTATGATAAATGTGGTAGGATATTAATATTTTCTGTGTAATGCACTCTTGAATTTGAATTTGGTTTCACAAATTATTTTCTTTCATTTTTTTTAATGGTTTGGTGTAATATTTTCTTTTAATAAATATTGATGACAAATTTATTATTTTTTAATTTATATTTTTTAATTTATATTTTTTAACCGACTTTGATTGCAACAGTACAAAATTCATCGAAAAATTTGAGTCAGTCTATAATGATTATAGGTGAAAAGTGAAATTTTTTTTTCGTATTTATTTCACCTTTTTTTTTCCTAGTTTTACTTATATATTTTATATAAATTTTTATGAGAATATTTAAGTATTTCTTATGTATAAAATATATCTTATATAAATATAAATATGATGTACTTTATTTTTATATAGAGTAAAAATATAATAAAATATTAAATATTAATAATATTTCAATTATAATTACCTAAATTAAATAATAATTTAATATTTTTTTATTTCGTTTTTTTAAAAGTAATAAAATCTCTTAATATTTAATTTAAATAAAAAATAATAAAATAATATTCTTAACAATTTTATTATGTTTATTGTTATATCACTTATTTATTTTAACATTTAGCTTTTGTAAATATATTTACTTAAATAAAATTTTAGGCTAGAAGATATATATTTTTGTTGTATATTTTTTTTTTTTTTTGTAAATAGGAGTTTGGATTAACTCCTTCATACACTGTCTTTACATTTTTCATACAGTTATGAGTAAGGTTAAGTACTTAAGCTTAAATGTAACATAAAATATGAAAGAAAATTTGTAATATTATTTTGGATATACTTTTTGGTTATTGTAAAATCTTATATAAAGTATGACTTTCTTGTAAATGAGTGCATCTTTGGTGTACTTTTAATTTATAGTCATGTTTCCAGATGAATATTTAGTTTTAAAAACTAAGTGAACTTCAAACTACCTATTTATAAGCTCTTTAAGATAAATATCATTCACTCATAAAAATATTACCCACTATCTTACAAATGTTGCAGACAATCGTTCTTAGTTCCAATGATTTGAAAATAATATCTCTAATACTTGCATTTTTATACTTATGAGTTTCATTCATTTTATGGATCTTAATTCACTGGGGCAATTCTTTAACATGATATCAATTTCAATCCATTTTTTTTTTATCTTAACTTTCTTGATTATGATCAACGTGAATTCAACTCATGCATAACAAGCAAAAGCTTAAATTGATGTGTTGTTACTGCATCTTATTTACAAAGTAGGTAACTCTAAGCAATGAAGGTGTTGAATTAAAATGGGAAGAGAACCACTATTCATACTGAATTTATCTGTATAGTTATATATGTTCCATCCTTAAGTGAAATAAAATTGTCTTTCGAGAGAAATGCCAATGAACTTTGGCCACCAGTAAAGCAAAAGAAAGGATCTAAAGGGGTGGAGCTGCACATTGGTAGTGCCAACACTCTCAAAGAAGAAACTGAGCCAAAAATCCAGCCTGATTCAGATTACCCTGACTAGTTGTGGCATCTGCTAGATAAATGGCTTACACTTACATAACTAAGTAAGAAAAATAACAAATATTCATAACCAAATATCTTATAATTTTGGATGAAAGGTAGAATCATATTATCTTATATAGTTGAATTGTGTCTCATCCAAGGTTAGTAAACTCGGTATAAGACTCATAAACGTGTAAGATTTTAATTTATATAAAAAATATCAATTTAATAATAAATATAATAATATTAATTTCTCATTATTAAAATAATCAAAATAAAAATTTAATTTAATTTGTACAATAGTATAATCAAAATAAAAAATCTTAAATGTCTAAAATATCTTTATGTATTCGAAACCCTAAAATCTTAAATCTTTCCCTCTATCAGTCTAACCTATTTTATCTATTCGAAAACCCTAAAATCTAAAATCCCTAAATTCGTCAATCTAACCTAGAGGGTGGTGCCCACACGACGAGCAACGACAAGGAGGGTGACCACCGCACGACCCAGTGAATGTCGTGCTACCACAGCGCGACCCAGGTGAACGTGCGCGACCCAAGCGAGCGTCGCGTTATTACCGTGCGTCCAAGGACAAGCACGCAACGATAACCACGACGATGATAAACAGTGACAAATAGTGGGAATGAACGAGATCTGAACTTATGAGAAAAAATGAGGAAAGTCAAATAAGATCTAAGTTTTTCTTTTCCTTCAAACTTGGTGATTCGTCTCTAACTCAAGAGTTTACTTAGAATCTACCGAGTTTATCGAATTTGACTCCGAGTTTATCCTAAAAATTGTTTATCACGAGTTAACTCATAACTACTTATTTGAGTAGTTAACTCGTAAGAGTCAGAGAGTGTTTGATAATCTTGGTCTCATATGGGAAATATTTCAGTTAGTCGCTTGAAAATGTCCAAGAATGTGAAACAGAAACGCTTTATTAAGCTGGATAACCGGGCAAGGATCAAGGCAAGGGAGAATAACTTTGTGAAGGCAAAGAACTGATTTCAATGGTCAAAAAGAGAAACTAGGGGGTGGAAACGAGACTGTGGAGTTCTTCCATTTCTTTTTATATTTTGTGACTCTCAGTCTTCTGGGATTCCTTTGAGTAATCGGCCTACATGTATGGAAATCATTAAACGAAACAAAGGCCAAAGAGCTGCATGATTTTTCACTTTTGTTGTGTCTTTTTCTTTCTACTACTTTTTAGTTGTGTTTTTACCTGGGATGCTTTCTAGATTAATTTTAAATGCTTTTGTTGATTGAACAGAACCTTGTCCATAATTTTTTTCTTTGCTTTGTTTAGTGTTTTAAGAATGATTTAGACATTTGTTATAACGTTCATTCAAGGGAATTCTTATATAAAGGGCTCAAACTCAAATACTGAATTGTCTACTAATGTAATTTCCACTAATTTCTGATAGAAATGTTATGAGATTTTTTGTGATTTTCATTGCTCCTATTATGTCATTCTTCTTACAAGAATCATATGTTGTACTTCAGAAACTTAAACTAGTTCCACTTCATAGTATTTTTTTTTATTGCTTCATGAACATGGGCCATAGTTTTGACATTGCTATGGAACTTCATGGGTGGAAGCCACCATCTCTTGTCCCCTGGCCAGTGAACTTAACTGGTGGGTGATCCAATGCTATCTCACTTTTGGAGGTTTGCTGAAAATGCATATGCTATTTCCCTTTTCTATCATTGACTTGGTGGAGCCATCTGTTCAGGATTAGTCATACACTGGAATGGGCTTGCTTAACTTTTAAATTGCTTTATCTAAACAAGAATTTACCCCTTATTCAAGTATTTGTGTAATTTTCTGCTCATGAAGCATGTTAATTTGTAGTTAAATTCAATAATAATTTATATACATATTTTCTTCGATTTTATTTTTAAAAGAAATTATATTAAATTATGAGAAAATGACCTATATAAATTACATTGATATCTTACTTTTAAGTAAGGTGGGACTATGAGCGTATCAACTGATAAATAATCTTCTCGAACAACTAAACATTCTAAGATACTGGGCTATCGTGTATTGGCTATGCTTTAGTGGTCCCTGACTGCCTTCCTGTATCATTGTTTTTTAATTTGTTTTCCTGGATGTGGTCCCTGTACTGTATCTACATGTCCCATTGGAAAATGTTTTATGTTTTCAAAGTGCAAAATTTAGACAACATAAAGTTGTTTTCTCTTTGGTTTTGGAATGTATTTTTGAGATTCATGGATAGAGATAATAGTAAACCAGATTGCATAAGGTATTGATTATCTGATGTTCAAATAATTGAACTGTGATGCAGAATCCCCAATGTTAGATGATATAATGTGGTAAGAACACAACATATCCATGATAATGAAGCAGTGTTTCCTAGAGCCCATGTGAAGGTGTGGTTCTCTGACCCCTCACTAAAGCAAGAAAGAGACTTGGTGAAGGTAAAAGAGGAGGCAAGAGAATGATACTGGTGGATGGTGGAATTGGACATGACATGCATCATTGTAGTTAAAAGCATGCAACCTCCTCCTCTACACAGCTTTTGGATGTAGTACCTATATGTTAAAAGCTGCCTTTCACATGTTTGCTTTTTTGCTTTTTGAGAGTTGTGATTCCAAGATCAATGAACATGAGTGGTTGGACTCAAGTCACTGTTGAGCACCTAGCAAAGACAGCTCACCAAAATCTTTAAACATAATCCCTCCCAGCATCATGTCCTAAGCAAGGTGAACCACCTCTGTCTCAAGGGATTACCAACCCTCATTAACTTGCATTAAGGCCATTCATTCCCATAATATGTTCATCCCTCCATTTGTACATTTCAGTTGTGGTGTTAATAATTGTTCGTTTATGAGATATTGATGCCTCAGCTGCAACCATAAGCATGTATCTAGTCAGGGATTGGACTCAGAACTTAATCTGTGCCTCTTAACTGTGACTTTTAATGGGGGGGATTGGACTCAACTTGATCTGTGCCTGTGACTTTTAGTGAGGGATTGAAACAGACAAACTAGAAAAGAGAAAATAGACTAAACATGATTCTATAATTTAAACTAATATGCAATACCAAATATGTAATGTAAGTTAGTTAACTTTTTATAATCAAATTATTCTAAATTTTTTACTGAAAAATATTAATAATTAAAAGAACTGTCTAATATTTAATTTTATAAATTTGTATTTTTATTTGGATAAAAATGTTGTGGTCAAAATACTTGATAAGGTCGTAGAAACCTTTTTGATGGGATATTCTCACGAGGGACTCGTCAGCCATGTCCACCACGCGTGCTCACTTTCTTCTCATTCACACTTTCTTGATATCATAATCTCAAATTACTTCATGCCTACATCTTCACTATTTTCTTTCTTTAACCTTTGCAATAGTCCAATTAGATCAACGGTGAAGAAAAACAAAGTTTTATGGCATCAAATCATTGGTTAATTAGGGCTACAAATTTTGATTCATCTGCTTTAAGATTGGAAACTTTTAGGTCAATAGCTAAAGTTAGGCTCATAAACAAACAATTTTCAACTACTTTTAGAGGCCGGTGGATTAGGGAGAATACTACTCACAAACCCCCAACCAAACAATTTTTTGTTGCTAAATGAAACTAAAATTTTTACACTTTCGTTTCAAACTTTTTTTTTCATCTCCATTCTAATAATGTGATATTCTTTTTTTTTTAAAATGCTAGTAATATGCTTTCATAGCACTCTCTTAATATATTAGTTTTTATTGATCAAAATTTATTAAAATTTACTACACATGGTATTAATTATAACAACTTCTTTTCTTGGTTTTGTTCTTTTTAATAAATTTCAACCAATTAAGAAAAATAAGTTGAATAATGTGCAACCATTTTTTCCTTTTTCTTATCCATCTAAATAATTATATTTAAAAATAATGATATACAAATTAAGAAATACCCCATTAATATAATTTTAGACAAAAATGAAATTAATTTTTGATTTTTTTTTCAATTATTACTATATTAATTTATCTTCTTAATTATGTTTATTAGAAATTATGAGATATTTAAGTCAAATTTTTTATAAAAATAAAGGTGGGATTATATTAACTTTATATACTACAGTATTATTATATTTTTAGTTATATGAGATTTTGTCACAATTTTTTTTTATTTTAAAAAATATTTTTCTTTTATCTTATAGTTTCATCACAGGTGAAATTATTTTTCTTCAATATTACAAAACTAACCAAAATATATATTTATTTTAAAAAAAGAATATAATTTAATAATATAAACAAATACTTACCATATACATATAAGTGTTTATTTATTAGTAAAGATAAAGTGTTTATTAGTAAAAATAGAATACAGATTGAAAATAAATATAAATATTTTATTATGAAACACCTTCACTTAACTTAAAATTTAGTAAGAGTTATTTATATAAATAGTTTTTTTTAATTTTAAATAACTTTTTTCTATTTTAAATAACTTAAATATGAAATTCATAATAAAATATTTATTTTATTTTAAACTATTTTTATTAGCTACTCGCATTAAAGTTGCTTTAATACGTGAATTAAAGAACCAAACTATCACTTTAACCATGTCATCATAAAATATAATTGATTTCCCAAAACTCTGATTATTTATTTTATTATTACAAGTTGCACACAACACGTAGAGATGGTCACATTCGTTCTGTCTCTGAAAGTGTGAAGCAAAAGCACCCTCCTTCCTTCCGTTTAGCCTCTATAATAACTCCTATAATTACTTCAACACCTTTTGTGAGCAGTGAAATCTCAATTCCATTGGTTGAACTTCCTACATCTACCATCATTGCATCCAACACCTCTTTCATTATTATTCATGTCCTTTGCATCCTTCAAGAAGTTCACTGTTCTAAACCATAATCATCAATGGGATTTTTATTGGCATCTTAGAGTACCCTTTTGAGATTCCAAGTTGAGCAAAGTTATTTTTTGTTCTTGAATAGTACATCCCTTTCTAATGTTATCTACTGCAAATGGTCTTCTGATCACTTTTATAAACAATATTCTTCTTTGAAGTGCCTGCTACCTTTTCTGTTAACTTTGTGAGAACAATTATGGCTGTTTCCATTCTCATACTAGTTGCTTGATATTATTTATTAGATCACACCACCAACCCACGTAATCAACCTCAGGGACCATTCTTTTTCCTTGTTGTGCGCTTGTGATACTTATCATATTTGATTACTGGGTGTTAATGGAATTTTGCATCTAGTACTATTCAACCCTTTAATTAGTCTTATGTGTTGTCTTCATGTGTATGCTTTAGCACTTTTCTACATTTCTCACATGTGAATTTTGGTTCCCTTTATAACTTAATTAGTTGTTCAACTCAAAATTCCCATGTAAGCTTTCTTGTGCTGTATCAGCTTTCTATATTCCTCACACAGGTCCAGCTTCTATCTATACGCTTGTTTTGTTCTGTATCATCAGTTCCATCCTCAGTTACTCTCTTTCTATCCCTTTCACCTTTACAATCATTAGTATCAGTGAGAGGTTGAGTTGGTTTTAGTTTGTTCTTCTTAGTTTCAATTATTATCTGCTTTCATTTTGTTAAAATTGTTAATTGTTAGCGTTTTCAAATCACTAGTGTTTTAAGCCTTCTCAATCTTGTCAATGCCTCCTACATACTTTCCTCTTCGTTGGGAGAGCACTGGGGACCAGTGGTGGTATGCATCACCAATCGATTGGGCTGCTGCTAATGGCCACTATGACTTGGTTCGTGAGCTTCTCAGAATGGACAGTAACCACCTTTTCAAGCTCACTTCCCTGCGCCGCATCCGCCGCCTGGAAGTTGTGTGGGATGATGAAGAACAGTTCAATGATGTTGCAAAGTTTCGGAGTGAGGTTGCACAGAAGCTGCTGCTTGAATGCGAGTCCAAGAAAGGGAAGAACTCTCTCATCAGAGCTGGCTATGGTGGATGGCTAATGTACACTGCTGCCTCAGCTGGGGACTTGGGCTTTGTTCAAGTCCTTCTTGAGAGGAACCCGTTGCTGGTTTTTGGTGAGGGAGAGTATGGTATTACTGACATACTCTATGCTGCTGCCAGGAGCAAGAATTGTGAGGTTTTTAGGCTGCTATTTGATTTTGCTGTTTCACCACGGTTTCTATCTGGCAAAGGAGGGGTGGTGGAGGAGCATGTTGGGGATATTCCTTCTGTTTATAGGTGGGAGATGACCAATAGGGCTGTTCATGCTGCTGCTAGAGGAGGAAATATGAAGATTTTGACTGAGCTTCTTGCCAATTGCTCTGATGTTTTGGCTTACAGAGATGCTGATGGATCTACTGTTTTACATGCAGCTGCAGGCAGAGGGCAAGTTGAGGTGATAGTCTTGTTTTTCATTGAGTTTTGTTTCAATTTTATGTATCAAATGCTTGAAGCTACTTCGACTCTTTGCCTTGCTTCTCATAATCCCTTTCAGATAACTATTCTGGTGTGGTGGTAGGGGCATGTTCTTAACATATAAAGTTTTGTTTGGTGTTGATTGAACATAGATTATTTCTTGATATATAAAATGAAGAAACACTCACAGAATATTGGTATGGAATATCAGATAGCAATAGAGTTAATCTAATCTCAGTAAGATTATTATTATTGCGAGTAGTTCTTGCATGATCACATAGACTACCTCACAGGCAGAAGTACTCAAAAGTTCTAACCCTTTTAACTACTTTACAAGAATCAGGGAATTTATATAATAGCATTAAAATTTATCAACAATTTATTAAACTTTTTTAGAATCACCGTTAATCCTTTTCAGTAAATTGATTCATATATTTAATAACTTTTTGCATGCTACAGGAAGAGGCAAAGGAAGTGAGAGAATTAGTTCTACCAAATGATCTTCTCCTATCCTCATCAGAGAGACTGAATCCAAAAACTTAGTTTATTAAATTTATTCTTTATTGATAAAAAAATGTTTAGTGATGTTTTTATAATAAAATAATTGAAAAGAAAGACAGTAATCCACACAATTTAGAAATTCCTTATAATAGGCCAATGTAAACTTCTCAAAAAGTTTCTATTAAAGGGATTGAAGGAATAATTTTAACACAGACTTTGCTATCTTTCCTTGTTGCTATTTTAATGCATTTTTGAGCATTTGATTGATTGTGCCTATAGGCATTATGCAAGAATTGCGTAATTGTTGTTGAACTTCCCAAATTATTGGAATTATGGTCTCAGAGAAAGATCAACCTCTTGCTTTTGTCATTTGTTTTTGTTGTGGTGGTATGGCATTTTAACTCTGAACAATTCTTGCCTCTCATGCAGGTTGTTAAATATCTTACATCATCTTTTGACATGATAAACTCCACAGACCATCAGGGTAACACTGCTTTGCATGTGGCTGCTTCCAGGGGCCAATTACCTACAGCTGAAGCTCTTGTCTCAGCATTTCCTACACTGATCTCTGTGAGAAACAACTCTGGAGAAAATTTTCTCCACAAGGCTGTGTCTGGTTTTCAATCTCATGCTTTCAGAAGATTGGACAAGCAGGTTGACCTTCTGAGAAACATGCTAAGTGGGAACAACTTTCATGTAGAGGACATAATCAATGTCAAGAACAATGATGGAAGAACTGCTCTTCACATGGCCATCATAGGCAACATTCACACTGACCTTGTGCAGCTCCTCATGACTGCTCCATCAATAAATGTGAATATCTGTGATGTCGATGGCATGACCCCACTAGATTACCTTAGACAACACCCCAACTCTGCATCATCAGATATACTAATCAAAAAGTTGATCTCAGCTGGTGGAATGTTTGGTTGTCAAGGTCATAGTTCAAGAAAAGCCATAGCTTCACACTTGAGAATGCAAAGCATCGGAAGCAGTCCTGGGACATCATTCAGAGTCTCAGACACTGAAATATTTTTGTACACTGGCATTGAGAATGTATCAGATGCTAGTGCTGATCATGGACATGGAGGAGTGAGTTCATCTTCATCAGAACACATTCCATATGACCCGAATGCCGCAGAGAATCGAGTTTCAACAGCTATCAAAAGGCCTAGTTCTGTGAACTATGCAGCAGCAAGGTTGAAGAGAGCTCTTCAGTGGCCCAGGGTGAAGGACAAGAAATTTGAAGTGTTCAAGAAGTCTACAGATGAGGGTTCAGTGGACTCAGGCAGGAAATGGAATAACAGCTTCGATGAAACTCCTACCCCACTTAGGCAAAGATTTTCTAGGCCATCTTCACTTCCTAACAACAAAAGAACTCTTTCTGTCAGGAGTCAGCAGTCAAGTCCTAATGCCAAAAAGAGGTTTGCTTCAGGACTAGTGCATGGAGTCATGCAATCCATTCCACAAATAAAGGTTTCAGGCAGATCCAGGTCTAGTTCCTTTTCTAAGTCATCTATTTCTTCACCTAGATCAATAGACAAGCAAAAGGGCATTTACATTGACAATGACATTCCTGGGCCATCTAGCTTAAATCAACCACCACCTGAGGATGATGAATCACCAAAGTTGGTAAAGAGAACTTCAGTTGGTAGGAAGTTGAGGGGCCATTACTTCTGCTTTGGTGCATCTGGCCTTAATGTCAAAAACTCAGTTCATAGGCAGCAAGAAAGCCAGACTTACAAGGCTCATGCTGTTGCAGTGGCTTAATTGGATGAGCTTATATAGATAATTCCTGACCAGGCTAATTCAACAAATAAGGGGAAAAAACTGCTTTATCAACTTTGAACTCACCTGTTAAGGTTTGCTAGGGGGTTCCTTAGTTGTAAGTTTCTATAGATTATATTTTGTTACTTAAAGGAATAGCTCATCCACAAGTCCACTTTGTTAATGAAAAACTCCTGTATTGAAATATGCTTCTTATCATATTGGCATCAAATTAGCTCAATTTGGTGCCTAGTAATGTAAGAATTAGCATTGCCAATCTATTAATTAATCTCTTTGGCCAATGCAGTCATCTGCATTTTTGTTCGACAATTGACTACTGTTCATGTCCATGTATCAAACTTAGACATTATACCTATAAGATGCCCTTCTAAAGGATCAAATAGAGAATGAAAGCGCATAATACTCTGAGAAATATAGATTTACCAAGAAAAGATGAAAGGGGAATGAATGAATGCTGAAGCAGTGACAGAAGAAGAAAAGTGGAAAGCTCAGTTCACAATGCTAAGAAGAGTTTGAAAGATTAAAAATATGTTTGGATCTTAAGTACTAATATGAAATTTCAAATAGAAAATATATATAATAATAATATACATGAATGTTTATTAATAATAATAAGTTTATAAATAGACTAATAAAAATTACCAGTATTTTAAAGTTGTTTTTTTTTTAAAGAAAAATTGTGATTAATTAATTTTTTTTATTAAATCAGTTTTCTAACCAGTTTTTAGATCAATTTTATCGGTTTAATGAGGATTTTGTGGATCACTAATTTCGTATAAAAAACGAATTAGGTAAAGAATAATCGAACTATAGTAGTGAAACAAGTTAATTTGTTCATATAAGCATGATAATAGTTATATAAAAGGAATATAACTCCAATCAATAAGATGTCATATACCTTCCAGTTAATTTTTTTTTTTTTTAAACTAACCTTTTTTTCTTCACAATTCTACTTTTCCTTTTATTAAATTGTATCCTAATTCATCATATTTCATTTTGATTGCTTAACTGTGTTTTATTTTTTAGAAATAATTTGTAAAAAATTTCTTAAACACTTTTTCTATTTTTTTTAATTTGTGTATTAGTTAGTTTTAGCTTTTTAAGCATAATATTATTTGTTTTTTTTTTTAGTTTAATAGTAATATTTATTCACATATTTCACTGAATTTACAATTTTGATTTTATTTCTTTCAAACATTAATTTTGTAGTTTTAGTTATTTTTAATTTTAGTCTTGAATTTATTTTTTAAAAGGATTTTAATTATTCATTACTTTGTTCACTTTTAAGTTTTGGAATATATTTAATCACGACTAATTTACATTGATTATTGATATCCTTTTCAATCATATAAAAAATATAAATAATTAAATTAAAATCGTACAAAATTACAGATAATTAAAAATTAAGAGAATTGTGTAAATATATTTAAAGACAAAAATTATGAACAATGAAAAATTAAGAAAATAAAATTGCATAAAAAATTAGGAACTAAAGTTTTAAATCTTATAAAATAATGAGTAAAACTATATATATTAGACCTTTTTTTTGTTTTTGTTTTTTTTTAGAACTAAGAAAACTGCCTAAATGCAAAAAGCGCATGGATCATTGTAAAAATCCTTCCCTGTGTTATATATGAACTTATAAATACACATTAGAAATATAGTTTCTATTTTCTTTTGCATATAATATTTTTATTATTAATATAATAAGAATATCAAAATAGTAGATTGGTCTTAGTGGAGTGCATTAATAATTTTAGTCTTATTAATGTCTTATAATTTAGTATATATATATATATATATATATATATATATATATATATATCATATTTTTAAATTAAATGTAGAATCATAAAATAAATTGAGATTATAAATATCATAATTAATTATATATGATATTTTTATATTAAATAATTATTTATTATAATATATTTAATAAATTTATGAAAAAAAAATGTCCAACCCAAATTATAAATATTTATTTTATTTTATTTATATTTAAAAAAAATAAAAATTCAAATCGCATTTAAAATTTATATTTGATTTGAATCACTTTTTAGTGTAAAATTGATTTAAATATTGATTATTTTAATATATGAATATATTTATTTTTTTCAATTTATTAAATAAAATTTTTAATTAATAGTAAAGGCTTAAAAAATATTTATATATTATAAAATAATTTTATTATAATAATTTATTATAAAATTAAGTATAAAAGTAAATTTTTAATTTTTGTTTAGATGTAATGATTAAGATAAATGAATGTTTTAGATGATTAGTTAATTAAAACATAACTTATGAAATTAAAGATTTAATATTTATTTCAGAAATAAATGAATATATTCTCTCTAATTTATATATTAAAATAAAAAATTAATTTTATTAATATAATTTAAATTTTAAAAATGTAATTTTCTTATATAAAATTAGATTTTATTTATTTGAATTATTATTTTTATATAAATATATTATAATTTTTAAAATTTTTAAAATTTTCAATCAAATCAAAATAATTTTATTTACTTATTGAGATATATGATCAAGTCATAACAAAAATTATGACCCTTTTTTCAGAATAGAAAAATTGTAATAATGCCTTTAAAGCTAAATTCGAATTACTAGAATTAATAGAAGATTATATAATAATTTGATGTATAGCGTAATGTGATATTCTAAACAAAGGAAGATGTAGTATTTTTAGGCTAATAGGACACTAACTTACAAGTATATACCATAACTCACGGAAAATTCTATCCATATTTTCTTGAAACAATTAAATAAATATTAAAAAAAATTCACATATTCAAGCCATTAATATATATATATATATATATATATATATATATATAAACAAATTGTAAAATCCATGATTTTTATTAATGTTAGTTCTCAATCTAATTTAAACCAAAGTTATGTATTGGAAAATATTTTAACAATTTCTTTAATAAAAATATATAGTTTTATAATTTTTATATAAAAATTTATTGTATCTGCCATGAGTTTCATATTACTTAGGAGTCGAGATCGAATATAATTTAAATACATCATTCTCTCTCAACTTACTAAAACACTTCTTAAAGATAAAATCGTGACGAATTAGAATTCCAAAACAAACAAAGACATGAACCTAAAATACTCTAAGTCCTTAATAAAACATTTATATCTAAAATGGGACCGAGAACTCATAAGTCTCACGTCACTTATAATAAACAAAATAGTCTTTGATCCAATGCATAAACTATAAATTGGTCAAACAAACAAAAATATGTTGAAAAAGAAATATTTAATTGTATAAACTTCAAGAATAAAGCTTTTACTTCTCACTTCATCTTCTTTCCCTAAATCCAAATACTCATTATACTAACATAATAAACAAGTAATGTACGTCATTTTTAAATTTAAATTAATCTTTAGATTGAGAGCTCTTACTATTCTAACTATGCCAAGCAACATAACAAAATGTCAATTTTGGACGAAAGCATGGAAGGATATTTGAGGTGGACTAAGGTGAACAAAACGACAAGTGGCACACCGTGATGTTGAGTGTTGATTAAGAATAGGGTGTATAATCTTTTAATATGGTTTATGGTGGATCACAAGTTTTAATCCTTATATTAATTTCATATTAACGTGGTCCACCCTATTCTTTACCTATATTATATGGTCTAAGTTTTAAGCTTGTGATTTTATGTGTGAGTGGATCCTTGATGAGACACCCGTTGGAAAGATTGGCACGTAGAATTTTTAATTACAATAACTTGGTACTTTTAAGTTTTGTTCATATCTATCATTGTTGAAAAACTTCACTAATCACTTTTATGTTGAAATTAAAATGGAGGTTGGAGTTTTCAAATCATGTAAAAATAAATAACTTTATATGAAAAAATTCATAAACTTATTTGTTTTAAATTTTTAGATTAAGTTTAATGTTATGTTCTCTTATACGTTAATATGTTATCGGTATAAGCTTTTTTAAAATTTTAGTTAAGAGAATACATGATAGCATGAATATGTAGTACTAGTTAAACCTTATTTTGAAATGATAAATTATTAAAAAATGTTACCAAATAATAATAATAATATGATATATTGTTAGATTTTAATCTAATGATATAAGACTAAGTAAGTAATAGATATATATTAGTTATATCTAGAGAATTCTAATACCATGTTAGATTTTAATAATAGACGGGTCAACAAATATATAAGTCTACTTAAAAAATTTAGATAAACGAAACCTTTTTTAATATATATAATAAAAAATTAAAAAAGAATAGTATAAATAAATATTCTAAATGTTGGGATAAAGATATTTGATTAGCTAAATTATAGGTTTGTGGTACAAAATATTGTATAATCAGAACTTCCTATATTTAGTCCTGATTTGTTAGAGTAAAATACTATAAGATCATAGTATATGTGTATAAAAATAATATGAATAAAAATTATAGAATGAATTCTATATTTTTCAATTTAGTATCGAGCTTATAACTTTTTTTCTTTTTCTTTCAAAATCCTTGGAGATCTTAAATGGAGAGATGACGAGAAAAACTAATTCTAATGGTTGTTCAATCTGAAGGTGTCTTCAACATAGACATCATCCTAAATGAATCCAATTATGACGTATGGTCACAACTAATGGAGATGCACATTGCAGAGAGGGAAAAATTGTCCTATATCCGTGGGAAGGTGAAACCTCCAACAGAGAACGATGAGAGATATGAAAAATGGTATGTTGAAAACCAAAAAGTGAAAAAATGGCTATTGATGTCCATGAAGCCAGAAATTATGAAAAGGTAAATTCGCTTACCCACTGCCCTTGATATCTGGAATGCTTTGTCAAAGGCATTTTATGATGGAAGTGATGAGCTACAGGTGTTTTCCCTGAATCAAAGGGCATTCACTGCAAAACAAAACAATAGAACCTTAACTGAATATTATGGGGAGTTGGTTGAGATTTTTAGGGAATTGGACCATCGTGACAAAGTAGTCATGAAGGACCCTAATGATGTGAAGTCATATCAGAAGTCCATTGAAAGATTAAGGGTGCATATATTCCTTGCTGGACTAGATGATGATTTTGAGCAAGTTCGTGGAGAAATCTTGCGCAAAGAAGTGACACCTGATTTAGAAGAATTCTATGCATTGATCCGGAGAGAGACAGTCCGACGAACAACGTTGAAAACAGAAGATATGATTTCTGATTCCACAGTTATGATGACAAAGAAGCAGCCAACAAATCACCACAGCAAATCGAAGCAATCAAAAGATTTTGAAAAAGGTAACTACAAGTGTACTCAGTGTAATAAGGATGGACACACTAAGGAACGATGCTATGAAATCATAGGATACCCCGAGTGGTGGGATCACAGTCGAGCATCGAAGAAGAATTCAAAAAGAAATCCAACTGTTGTTGTAACTGCCATTGACAAAGAGGACAACAAAGGCATGATGTTTGCTACAATTGCAGGTAGTGATGATTCTAATGTTGAAACATACAAGGACATGAATGTTGAACTTACATGGACATAAAACTTGTTAATTTTGATGATGATTCAAGAACAATGGACTTAGAGAGTTGAAGACTTGTATTCTTGTGTAATAACTCTGTTTTGATGATTTTGAGTCTGTAATATTAGAGTCTAAGATAGCCAGCACATAGTCTACTCTTTAGAAGCTTCAAAAACTCATGTTTATCAAAAACACACTGGTTTAATCGATTAAAAGGCCAAATAATCGATTATTTCAGAGAGAAAAGCCATTTTCTGTATCAACTCTCTGGAATAATCGATTAACAGCTGAAATAATCGATTAACAGGTCTGTTAATTGATTAACAGGCTAAATAGTTGATTAACTGGCGTGGTTATGGGTTTCTGTTGATTTTGACTCTGTAATAATCAATTAACACTCAAGATAATCGATTATCTCAGTCAGATATGCATTTTAAACTTCAAAACTAGACCAAGTTTCGAAAAACCTAGTCCCAATACACCAGGTTTCGAAAATCCCCAATTCCCAAACCCTAATTCATCTACTTAAGGTTCTCTAAGGCTCTCTACAAAATGAACAACCTTTTTCAAACAAAAGTTGAGAGCTGTGATTGCCAGAGAACTGTTTGTTGGAGGAAAAAAGGGTTTTTGAAACCTAGTGTGGGCTAGAAGCGATAAGAATCACTAAGTGGAGTTCTTGGTGGATTGTGTGTTGTGCCGTCTCTAAGGAAAGTTGTTCTTCATCTCTTGTGTGACTCAAGAGAGGTGCTTTTGTTACCTTATCTTTTCAATTGTTATTTGTTTGTAAAACTTGATTATAGTGACAACGTTAATCCTCTTTTTGAGTGATTAGCAACTTGACGTAGGGTCTTTTGATCCGAACCAGTATAAATCTTCTGTGTAAGACTCTATCCTTATTCTATTTATGTTTACACAGTATTTTAATCGGTAAAATTTGGGGAAAATTTTTAAAAGCTAATTTTTGTTAAGAAACCAATTCACCCCCCTCTTGGTTTTTGTCCATTCACGCAAACATTCCGCTGCGCGATTCTAACAAGTGGTATCAGAGCTTGCTTTGATAGTCATTCAAATTTTTCAAAAATGGTCGGACAAAATCAAACATTTGCCGAAGGTGCTTCTATCAATAGACCCCCACTTTTTGCGGGTCAAAATTATCCTTTCTGGAAAGTTAGAATGCAAATCTTTTTAGAGTCTGTTGATAGAGGTGTTTGGGACGCTATTTTAAACGGTCCCTATATTCCTAAATTTTATGAAAACGGAGTAGACGTTCCTAAACCATTTTCTAGATGGACGGCGGAGGAAAATAGAAAAACTCAATTTGACATTAGGGCTAGAAATATTATTTCATCTGTGTTAACCCTTGATGAGTTTTACAGGATCTCCGTTTGTAAAAGTGTTCAAGAGATGTGAGAAATGTTAAGAGTGACCCACGAAGGTACTGACGACGTTAAAAGAGCACAAAAAAATTCTTTAATCCAAGAATATGAGATGTTCCGAATGCAACAAGGAGAAACGATATTTGACGTTCAAAAGCGTTTCACACTCATTGTGAACCATCTCATCGGATTAGGTAAAATTTTTTATGTTGATGAATTAAATGTGAAAATCTTGAAATCTTTGGATAGGAAATGACAACCTAAGGTGACGACCATGTCAGAGTCACAAAACCTTGCCACAATGTCTATGGCGGCACTCTTTGGAAAGTTGAGAGAGCATGAGCTAGAACTAGGAAGGCTAAATGATGATGAAGGTCAACACCAAAAGAGGAACTTAGCCTTCAAAACTGAAATTTCCAAAGGTAAGAGTAAAAAGGAAGAAGAAGACTCGGAGAATGATGAAGAAGAATTGAGTCTCATGATTAAGAAATTTCCAAATTCATGAAAGCTTAAGGAAGGCATCCATTCAAAGGTAAGAGAAAATACTTCCTTAAATATCAAATGCTATGGTTGTAGTGAAACAGGACATGTGAAGACCGAATGTCCAAACAAGAAAAATGAAGATAACAAAGGCAAAAATTTCTTCAAGAAGAAGGCCTACATCGCTTGGGACAATAGTGATTCGAGTTCGAAGTCAAGTGATTCGGAAATAGAAGCTAATATTTGCTTAATGGCAAATGACAATATATCTTCCAATTTTGAGGTAAGTGATTCCGACTCATCTTCAAGTGATGATGAAAATAATTTTGATGAATTACAAAATGCATATAATGAATTGTTTAATGCCTTTAAGGACTTGAAAAATGAATACAAAGCTGTGAAAAAGAGTTTAAGTAGATTCGAAAAGGAGGTGGAGTCCTTAAAAACGAAAATTGCATGTTTAGAGGAAAAAGAAACCTTAGAAACGAAAATTGTATGTATAGATAAAAAAGATGATAAGAATATAGCATGTGCATCATGTAAAGAGTATGAATATGACATTAATATACTTAATCATTTGCTTGATAAAGCCGAGAAAGAATTAAGTAATAATAATAAGGATAAAGTTGTTATTGCTCAAAATAGAGTAAACCATCATGTTCCTTTGAAAAAGCCTAAAATAAAAAATAGAAGAGAATGGGTTGAAAAAGGAACTAAAGCATCTATTGTTAGAAATGTATCATATTCAAAAGCTACATCTAAAACATGTTTTTATTGTATGAAACATGGTCATACTTCAAATAGATGTAAAATTAAACATTTTGGTGTTCCTAAAGGAAAATATATTTGGGTTCCTTTAGTTAAATCAATTGTTTGTCTCTAACCCCAAGGACCCAAAAGTTATGGGGACCTAAGTTTACTATGTTCTTGTTTTGTATGAAACTTCCAAATCAAAGAAGTCTATGTGATATGTTGATAGTGGATGCTCTAAACATATGATCAGAGACAAAACGAAATTTGTGAGTTTCAAAGCTAAAGAACAAGGATATGTAACTTATGGGAACAACAACAAAGGAAAGATTCTTGGAATTGGAAATATAAGTGGTGCAAACACTTTGGAGATTAAGGATGTGCTTCTTGTTGATGGGCTAAAGCATAATCTCCTAAGCATAAGTCAACTTTGTGACAAAGGATTCAAGGTAATATTTGAAAGTAAGTTTTGTACCATACATTTGATAGATTCCGAAAATGTAGCATTGAAAGGCATAAGGCATAATAATATATATTTGATTGATTTGGATTGTATGCATGATACTAGTATAACATGCTTAGTTGCTAAGGAAGAGAACCCATGGTTATGGCATAAGAGAGC